CAGGGCCCAGGACCCCCACACCCCTGTGACTCTGCAGGCCCTGACCACTGCACCTTCCCCTTCCCCTTTTCAATGAAGCTTCTCTTGACTCAGAGCAGACACACTGCCAGAGGGCCCTGCACCAAGTCTCCCTTGCTGGGGGTGGGGGCTTGGGAAAGAGGGGTGAGGGCCGTGACCATGAGGACCAGGGTCACAGCAGGTGGTTCTGGAGAGCAGGGCCATTTAAACAGAGAGCAAAACTCAAATTCCAGGGGCCGCCCTGAGCATGTCGCCGGAAGACACCCCTTAACCCTGGAACCAGAATTCTTCCGAGGGAGGGCGCCTTCCCGAAAGCCAGCAGAGAGAGGGGCAGGCAAACAAGAATGGTGCCCGGAGGGTCTGCGCTCCACTTAAAGCCCCCACCCCCGCTGAGAACCGGCCAGCTGCTCCTGTAAGCAGAGGGCCCAGGGGAAGGGGGCTGGAGTCCAGGGAGGGGGCCAGAGTCCAGGGAGGGGGCCAGAGCCCTGGGAGGGGGCCAGAACCCTGGGGAGGGGACCAGAGCCCTGGGAGGGGGCCAAAGCCTGGGGAGGGGGCCAGGACCCTGGAAGCCCTGGGACGGGACCAGAACCCTAGGAGAGAGCCAGTGAGGGGCATGAAAGAGCCTGTGGACAGGGTCCCGGAGGGAGGCGGTAAGCTGTGGGTGGGGGCATGATTAGTAGTTTAGACTGTGGGCGACAAAGTTGATGACTGAACTGCAAACCCCCACCTAAGGGACAATTTAAAAAAAGAAGCAAGTCGGAGACAGACGGAGACAGACAGAGGCGCTTGCCCCATGTAAGGAACTATAACTGGCGCCATTGGGGGGAAACTGTCAAATTGGGAACCAAACGTGGGATGTCAACATTCACTCAAAACAAAGGTGTGTGTGTGTGTGTGTGTAGGCTAGAACACCTGCCGTGACCAGTGTAATCAACACACGAAACTCCACGAGCAGAGGGAGGGATCTGTGTGTATATTTACCGCCATGAAACTGACTTTAAAATTCAAAACTTCGAGGCCTGTTACCCTCTCTCTGCC